AAAATGTATCCAAAAGTTATTGATGACGTTATGAATGAACTCTTATGTATGAGGAAATCGTCTTATTTCAGGATTATAATCACCTATTAATTGTAGTCTCAAAAAAGTATTTTCATACAATTGTTATATTTATAAAAGTGAACAAATGTCGATCGGCAACCGTAGACTATCACATGTAACTATTACAGAAGTACAAGTATCACCAATAAATTGCAATTGCTTTGGGATAGATACCATATTCATACCTTTGGTACTACAATTCTAGTCTAAGAAATTTAAGAACTTATTGGTAAAATAAATTCTATGCTCGTGTCGATAGCCTTATGTCGCAAAACTCGGACAAATAACCTCTATTCGTATAGTTTGTTGTAACTTGGAGATTGTTCATAGGGCAAAACAATCTAAGACGACATTTCTGTATGAGAGACAATTCCAAAGTTTGATTTTACTCTATAAACTCACAAATGGATAACGAGATGTTGTATAGATACGTAAAATTTTTTATGCTTGTTTTACCGGAATTATGTAAATTTTGTTCGGCAACTAGTAGAATTTCGCTATTTAATTATATACTGTATTTTGCTTTGAAAATTCTATCGTGACAAAATTGTGGTCAAGACGGGATTTAACTATATTATAAAAAATATTATCGAAGTCGATTTAGAATTTGTATCCCGATTCTACCTTTAGAAATCACTTAAAAATAACTTCCATTACAGTTCTACGAAATAACAAATCGTTCTATCTCACCTTTCTGAACTTTAATCTGATTATATACTCGAAAATACCTTTACAATTTGAGATACTTTTACTTAATTTGGGAGTGAGTTATCTACATAGATTTTTAAATAATCTGGTTTCTATCGATTTTTTCTAAATAAATATTTAAAAAAATATATGGATACATTAGCTAAGAATGATTATTAAATTATGTTGGATTGTACAAACCTAAAAGTTTCTAGTTCTATGAGGTCGTATTATCAAAAGTTCTTAGGAATTAATTCTTAACTGACATCTCATACCTACGTCCAAGTAGTTTGTGAATATGAGCATTAATCCATATCTATTTTTTAAATATGTAATTTGAATTGTCAATTGACCCTTATTCGAAGTGAGTGCTATAGAAAGGAAAGGTCAACTCGCATTGTAAATGAGAAAGTTAATCGAGGAAAGTGTGCGCGAGCGGATCTGTGGCACTTGTAGTAGTTTCTAAAAAAAATTATATTTGAATAAAGAAAATTTAATTAAGTTTTTAATTTCTCCTCTGATTAATTCCTCGATTGCGAAAGTATTTATTGATGTTTAAGATTGCCAAACAAGTATTACGCTGTAGGTGTGTCACAAACAACTCGCTATATTCACTTAAAGGGATATAGGTATTATTGAAAGGTAGTATATAGGTAGTAGTATTGGTAGGTTGCTTTACATTAATTTTTTTTAATGCACCACTACCACTTTTATCCAAAGTTTATCTGGAAAAGAATGCTTAGTAAAAAACCGCCTTTTGTACTACATATGTTTATTGACAATTCTTCAACAAGTCCTGTTATATTGGTGCAATAAAATACATATTAAAGAAATATACAGGTAGCGTAGTTCTCGAATGAACAGTATTTTTATTTCTATTCATGAATGCGACAAATTTAGAAAGAGTTATTTAAGAAAAACAAATATTATTATTATTATTTAGAAATTATATATTTATAATTAGATTTATAAAATTTTAAACACGAGTTTCTCAGCTTCAATATTACTAATGTTAGTAATATTGAAACTGAGAAACGAAAATTAGTAATTGTAAATATTTACAACATAGCAATTAACAGTAGTCGCTAGAATAAATAAACAACTCCACTGGTTTATATGTAAAGTGACCCATTCTCCTTTACATAATGGTTCTTTTGGTAAATATACAAGGAACACCTCTTTTAAAACCAAAATAAATTATTACACAAATTTTTCATACATATTTAAACAGAAGAGCCAAAAAATAGAAGGCGTGTTAAAATTTTTAATTAATGTATTACAATTTTATGCCATATATGTTTTCGAGTTACACTTAATCCCCTCGTATCCTAAAACGTTAAAAAATTATTGCAGCCTAGCTGTACACACACAGCTCTTAAGATTTTTATGGACAGAAGTTCCATTCTAAGCAATAGTTAATATTATTAAAGAACCTATTATTAAGACATTAATAAACATATTAACTATCAGATTGATCTCAATAGCAAAAAGTACATAGACTGTGTGATATGTGGATAATAAGTATTAGCAAATACCTATATCTTGCTAATACTTATAATAAAATTGTTATTAACTAACAAGACGATGTCTGTACTTTAAAATTATTTAAGATAAATTTATATGAGGGGTCCTGATTAAAGCAATAGAAACCAAAACAACTTATTTTTTAATTATGTATGCCGGTCTGTTTGTTTCAATATCATGCAAAAATTACCGCATCAATACCTATACGTTTTTCACAATTGTGTTCCTAAAGGTATACTTAAAATTTAGTATCTTTTATCGTGATACGCCATTTAGAAATAGTCTGTCTATTGATTTGTTATTCCTGAAATCCACATGTACGAAGTAGCATGGAAAAGCTAATAAGTAATAAAATGCCACTAATAGGATCTGAGATAATAAAAATAATTATATACTTATTTTTATTATCCAAGTACATTTCATTATGATGGATATTAATAAAACAAAAGATAAATCTTTCAAATTATGATATTCATCTCTGCATTAATTTTTATTTGTAACGGATTCCGTGCGTTCAGTCATTTAAGCGTAAATGAATAATAAATATACAGATATTTTAAAAAACAAATAAAACGCACCGATGGAATAGTATATCAACATATACAGTTTGCTCCACATATAGAAGTACTTTGCTACTCAATGAAAAATTGAAGTCCTTTAAAAATGAACGCTCTCTTGTTGGATACGCTTACCGAGTTTAAAATAGTTTACAGTTTTTATCATTTATTGAACTTATTATACTAGAGAGTATAATAATCTTTAAATTTACGTGGTTCCTTTATTTTTGTTTGTAATAAATGTTACATCGAAATTACATTTAATATTTAAATAACGGTAAATAACTACATAATATAATCATATGCATTATGTATGCGATACTTTTCTGTATTCTTTTGCATACTATTGTTTATTAGATGTTAGATGACATTTCAAGGAGAAATCAAAGATCGAAACATCCTTCGCAGGTAAGGTGGATCGAGGAATCCGGCGGCGTAACTTCCTTTTTCCTTTAGATGCTCAACCCTAAAATTCCGAGCCAAGGTTGACGAGTGTTTTCAACGTCATTGAAGGGATATGACTGAATGACATTGTATGTACCCTCACAGTCACACGTATGCCCTTACTGACATTTTGCAGTCGCAACCAATGCACGCGTTATGATTGTAATAAACGTGTTTTTGTTTTGATTATTGTATTAGGTATACATTGAATCACGTACCTGTATAAGTTATGATAAATATGAAATTTATTACAGTTATTTGTATTTTCTAAACTGAAGCATCATAAAATCTTTTATTTATGTAGTCACAATAGCTAATGCTATTATAAATTATTCATATCAGTACTTTATTTTCATTATTTTTTTTATTTGTATTAAATATAATCAGTGTTAATAAATCTTTAGTAAATTCAATAGTTACTAATATACAAAGAGAGCATCGGCAAGCGGGGCGCTCAAGGCTTCACACGGGGGCAACAACTTCTCCCTTCGTGCACTGAACCAAGTTCCAATTGCAACTGAATATTTTAGGCACCCGCCGTAGTTGACTGACTGTATTTGTACTGTTTAAATGTATCAATGAAGGCTAATGTAAATGTGAAATGCATTAGATACACTGTTGTATCATTTAGAATGGTTATAATTCAGGATTTTATAATTAGATGTAACAGTTTTTGTTCTCGACCAGTTTGAGACTGCTTTTTTTTATTTCGCCTCATGTAAGGCTGGCTAAGAATTCTGGCTGCGGCCATTGTTAAGTTGTCGTATATCTTTACCATATTCGTTTTTACATTGCCCCTGTTCTACAATCCAACACTTGGTTAATACACACTACTCGTTTTCACAAATCCCCAGAATAAAAAATTCATGCTTGCTTATGACTGTTCTAATAGTGGGTTCTTCTCAAATAGCTTTTCAGAAAAATTCGAAAGACATAGCAACTATACAACTTCACGACAGTAGTAACCTTTTCAGTCTTGGCTTTTTTCACAATACGATCTCTATTATTGGTAGACATTTATTTTCCGAAAATATAAATATATATTATCATAATAATTTATTATTACTAAACCTTACGATAATTAGTACTACTTATAGGATTTAGGAAATCGGAAAAAGAAAATGATTTTAACTCTTCGTATATATTTATTTCACAATACAGAAGATATGAGTACTATGTTTATGAAGGTCTTTTTCGTGTCACGTTATTTATATATGCTTTCACTATTCACCTGTTATTGGCTTCGGGACGCAAAGGGAAATTTGTGAATTTCGTTAGTTTTTTTTTAACCCCGCTAAGATGAAGCTGACGGCAACCCTTGCGGCATTAGATTTAAATAATTTTGTTCAGAGTAAGTTGTTTGATTAAGTCTTTATTATCACAACTCTTAACTGTCGTTAATGTCTAAGAGACTACAGTCATATTTATTATTTATCTCAAGCAGGTCAACAAAATTAAAATAAATTAATTATTCTCCTAAACAAAACCGAAGTGCAAAAACAATTTACTTCAATATAAAATAAATTTAAGTTATCAAAACAGTACCAGGTTTAAGCTTTCACTATTACAATGGAGACAACGGAGAAAGGGTCCGTGTTGCGCAGCTGTCCCGCGGGCGCCGGTGGTCGGGCACTCGCGCTCCGCCCTCACTGACCCCGCGCCTCCACTCCGTTCTCTGCTCGGCGAGAGCAGCGCTCACAATACAACAGCGTAACCGACTCGATCCCCAACCACAGACTTCGCCATTTCAGTCGCCCGTCAAACGTCGATCGTATTAAACGTCTGTCGCGGTAACGCACAAAACTTATTAGCCATGTGGTGAAGTGAAACTGTCAAACGTGATACACTTTTGCACACTTGTGTTGTTCAGTTTCAGTGGACACTATTAAACTTTACTGCTTGACTTGTGGTGTTTTGTTTGTTTGAAGTGGTGTCACTGTTTTGGGAAATTGGATTATACGAAAGAATAATGGCCTTAGCCAGGTGAGCTATTTTGGTTGTTGGAGTCAACGCGGAACTAGTTTATTTTATCATATTCATCGAAGGACTTTCCGTCGGTTGGTCTGTCATTTGATTTAGATAATTTGAGACAGGTATGGAATATGATTACAATGAAATATCAACACCTGACTTGCTTTAAGGGTATCTTACAGCTACTGTGTTTATGTCATGTCGTGAAGATGTTTGTTTGTGATATTTTATGGTGCGTTGGTTTCATATATTTTTACAATAAGCGAAAGTCGCGTAGCCCCACACACGCACTTAACTTTCCTTGTTGTGTAAGCTGAACGTCTAACGACATGTAACAGAAGGAGCGATTTAGAAATCGAATTAGGTAGTCTAGGCTTTTATACTAACAATCATTGCTAACATGACATGAAATATTTATTTATCCGGTGCTTCTATATTATTTCTTTCTGAAATTTTTCGTCATTATTGTCAATTACCAATAATATATTAAGTTTTCTGTCTAGACGTAATATTCTAATATTATATTAATGCTATTTCGACGGTTTCGCTTTACTTCATCGCACCCTTACCTATAATAGCCACCCTACCAATTTGAACCCCACTTTTATTTTTCTTGTCGTTTGACATTGGTGGGATTTCGTTTTTAGTAATTTATCTAAAATGTATCTGAATGATTAAATTCACAAAAATTAGATAATGTGCAAAAACAGTGTAACTTGGCTGACATTCTCGTATATAATTCAAGGATAGTTTCATTAAATAAATTAAGTATTATTGTATCTAATTTATCATCATCCGCGACTAAACCATAAAAAGTTTGCAAAACAGATCATTTACTTATGTTGAAAAACAATACGACTTTAAGTGTGCAAAAATTTTAGATATTTGTATAAAATGCCACCTACTTCGAACAGCTATTCTTAAGCAGGTAGTAAATATTCTGAGGCCGGAAAACCTTAAGCTCGCAGAGGGACCTTATTTCATATTTTATTTTTTGTTATGCTTTAAAATTTTAACAGTCTCGTTTTTAAAGACGCTATGATGATTCCATTATTAGAGGCTTTGTCATATTTATCAATCAAGTTTTCTATCATGTGCAATGTATAATTAATACAAACCTATTCCACATGAATTGATTTAATGTTACTTAATTCAAATTCATTATTATTATACATGCCATTAAAGAATTCTTGTTAAACAATTGTTTTTAACGGCTAGTAATATGACTTATGCGATAGTTCGTATAATAATTTGATATACATACAGTACAGAAGTTTTTATGCTTTTATTTATTGTTATATTTTGTGCTTCACAAGGCTTACTTAATTTTCTATAGGTAGAGATAGATTTTTATACATGTATTCTATTATACTCTTTATAGTATCAACAGATATTCGAGGGAGTCGCGGTCGTATTTTCTCCCCTAAAGCAAGAGACTTCGTCTATACCAAGGTAGTTAGGTTATATCGGTTTGAGGATGAAATGAGGATTTGTGATGCTTCTTTCTGAGGTCGCTGGTCTTCACAGACAGAATATATTGAAAAACTTACTACTATCTTGTTCTATCGAAAATCTTAGTATTTTATTACAGTAGCATATTCTTATCTTTTAAAAACTTAAAATATTAAACTTTCTAAAACCAAATGAATATATTTGTTGGTTTTCATTATTATTCCTGCTTCCTCTTTCATTATTCCTACATCTAACATGTTTACAGAATAGGCATGTAATGGATAACGAATTGTTACCTACGCTGGTACTGTAAACTATTGAACTAATCACTAAAGTGAAGTGATTAAATTTGACATAATCATCCACCTCGTTAAACAACAATGTTATAGTTAGCTAAGTATATACTTAAGTTAATCACCCCTCGTTAAATAACAGTTTATTTATTCATTTAAAAAAAAGGAATATAACACATGAATTATATACAAATAAATATTATAGTTTCGCTAAGTATGTACTTAATTTGCAATCGTAGAATCTATACCAGACTGTGAACCAGATGTTTCTATGTTTCGATTGTGTTTCAAATAAGTTGGGCGAGGTTATTTCGCAAGAATGTATCAATTTAGCCGAGGGCCGGTGAGCGTTGAGCGTTCACAAAGCTAAAGATTGCGGCCGAACCCGCTCTCAATGCTTCGTGTGCTCCTGTTTCGCTGACAACGGAATGCGATAACTAAAGTGGGTTTTGGCGGCTCCGACCGACGTTGTATTTCGGTTACGATAACGTTCAGTTAAACAGAAATGTCCGTTAGCTGAACGCAAAATGGTGTAGTTTAAATAATTAAACGTAAATCGTAAAGAATGTTGTCATTGAAAAAGATAATCTTGTTTATTTTGCCCTGGCAATAATCCAAGTTCTAATAGCGTCATGAATACGCCATTTTCAGATATTTGCAGCTTATCATTAATTCGTTGTCCTTATTATGGTGAAGTACATTAAAAAGTATAATTAGCAAATAACATCTTACAAGTATTGCGTAATACATAATAATTATCATTTTTAAGTTCGCTCTTCTATGTAACTATTATGAATTTCCAGCTGTGCTTTATTATCACGTTGTGTACATTCCACAAGGCCAAGGCTATTTAAACCATCGCTAAAGAATACTCGTAGGAACGAAACTCTACATTGTGATTGCGAATAAAATTGATAACTCATCTTTAAATTAATACTTATTTACTAGTAAAGAATTTATTTCTTAACAAGACTTCATATTAATTGTACTAAGAGAAACATACATACTTTAATCTTTAATAATGCCAAACTTGTCATGTGTGAATAATAATTATGTGCAAAAGTACAAGAAATAATTTTTGTGCATAATTTCACTATGCATTTTATAATTATATTTTGCTGTTCTGCTAATATCTTCGGTGAAATTTTACAATTTGAATATAACATCTTTGTCGATGGAAAGTGCGTCGTCGTTTCTTCTTCGGCTCGATGCGTGGCGCCTTCTCTTTTGTATGATGATCTCGATTATAGTTTCACTATCTTAATTATGTTGAAACCTCTTGCTTTTCTTTTACTAATGCTATTTAACGCGTTTCAATAATGCGAAACATCAAGGTTACTGTTAAATCCATATTATACGGACCATTGTCACTTATGCCTAAAAAGGTCAAGGAATTGGTTTTATTTAATGTTTGTAGATGAGTGATTAATATAATTATAATTGCATATTACGTAATTTTCAACCGACTTAAAAAAAAGAGGTTCTGAATTCGGCTGTATTTTTTATGTTTGTTACGTCATAACTCCGTCAGTTATGAACCTATTTAGAAAATTATGATTTATCTGAAAGGATATACTTACAGATTGGTTCCCATAGGTATTTTATGAAAATCGATTCAGTAATTTAGTTTTTAATCAAAATAACTGGTTTTGCACCATTTGATATTGTTTTTTTTTTTTTTTGGTGGAACACAATCTTTTGTTCTTTTATCTATGTGAATGAAAGATTTAACCATTTTTAACTGTTATTTATAGATATATAGAATGATAAATAACTACTACAATGCAAGTGTACTGTAAATTAAATATAAAGGCAGACAAAGGTCGCGGAGAACAACTAATTCCAGATTTTTTTAACGTTATTAAAACCATTAATCATAAACATCATATATATCGTCATGGGTGTTTTGTCTACTACAATAATAATAATACCATGGTACTTGTAGGTCTGCACTATGCTTTACTAATATATGTATTGTCGTATTTTGCATTGGTCTGTGCGTTTTTCTATTGTATTTCTAATTATATCTGCGTTTTTTTTATAGTATATTTATCAGTTATCTAGTTCTTAATGAATAGTAATGGAATAGTTACCTAGCCTTCGCAATATATATTCGCTGATGGGACACCAATGAGCGGTGATAGGTGGGGGTGAAACCAAGTTAGTTAGCCCATTGTAATCGATTCGGCAACAATTAATCACGACGGTTTTCAGGGGGAACCGCGTGGAGGTCGACCTGACAAACTATATTGCTAGCAATGGAGATTAACGTCCCTATTACTTACAATCGTTCTATGTATATATGTTATGTATGTATCTTCATGACTTTAGGTAACAGTTACCACTTTCTGTGGGTGGACCGTCAGCTTGTTTGCTATTTCAAGTTGTATAATTTTTTTAACAACCCTCAAAGGCTTATAAAACTACCAATATTCGTGTTCTCAGGGTTCCGAACCAAAAGGGTCCAAAGGAACCCTTATGGTGCGACTTTGTCCGTCTGTCCTTCCTTCTGTCATAGCGTTATATTTAAAATTAATACTATCGATTTGCAATTTGGAGTAATATAGAAGAGCTGCATTTGTAAGTTTCAAAAGTGTTTTTCATTTATTTTGATGCTTTCTAATTTTAGTTATATTTGAAAAAATAAAAAGATAACTATATCTGGAGTTCCTAATTTTTTTACTTCAACAGAAACTTTGTTTTGTTTATAATAATAGTAACAGTAGTAGCTTGTATTTCCTAGCAGTATATTATTACTATTTAAATATTAAACTGTTAAAGTATTTTTCAGTTTTTTTTTACGCAATTTAGAATAGCAAACAAGCTGACGGCTCACCTAATGAAAAATGGTAGCCGTCGCCTATAGACATGAGCAGTACCATGGACATAACGGAGTATACTGTTACGCTCATGATACCTCCCATACGTTGCCATTTCTGAGGACTCGGGTATTATTCTTCTGTACCCTGTAAATTCACTGCCATATTCCACTCTTCAAACGAAACACAGTCATGCAAAAACAACAGATTCACGGTAGAAACATGAATGGGACAGAGGTGTCCAAGCAAACAACTTTTGTACAGTCTCCCTCTGATAGAAAACTTAATTTATGTCACAGACTAGACCATTTATACTTTTTTGATTATTTATTTGTAATCTAATATAAAACGTATAATAATCCAATACTCAGAGTTTTCACGTATTAGAATCATCTTCCTAATTAAATAGAAATTTTAATATGAAAATCTTAAATCATTTACATGAGCACTAGTTTATATGATAGATTTAAAAAAATATTTTTATTTTCTATCCATGTTCTCTAGCTGTATTTCAGATATAATTTATACCCCTTAAACAAATATCTAATTACATATCATTCATGAAAAGGGTTCGAGACAATGGCTTTCACTCATACTGAGGTAAAAGTAATCTGTGATACTGACGAGACCCGGTTATGTATGTTCTCCTAATTTCCGTGTATTGAAGTATAAACTGTTCTCACTCAATATTCAGAAGACCTATTTATTTGGTTAATAAGTAGATAAAAATAAGTAGGTTACAAATTAACAAGGTTATCCTGATGCTTACTATTCCACAGAGAACCTACTTTTGTACAATTTGTTGTGAATAACAACATCATCTAGACTTTACAAGTCTAGAAGTACAAGTTAAAAATGTGACTGATAATAATTATAGATATACCTAACAGTTTATAATTTTATCTGTGGTAGATTTAGAGCACGGTAGCGTGTGGCGTTAATTTGCCGAGGGAGTAATTCGGAATGGGGACACATAGCGAGTACTTCAACATTTCATCGGAGAGTCACGCGCGTTGACCCATTTTGTGCGTTACACGGCATGGTGCGTTAAGGAATCGATGATAATATAGCAACCGAATCTCGAGGCCTTCACGGCGGTACACTGATGAATTTGGATCTGTGTCAGGGTCCTCCCCCGTGCGGTCCCTGCGCTCTTCGCGTCCCTCTACCTCCCACGTTCGTGCTAGTAGTCAGCCCCTGTGACAGTTGACCTGTAAACAGGAGTGTTTGTGTTTCGCCTTCCTTATTCTTGTTTAATGATTCAGGGTCACTGATTTTAGCTTTATTGTAACGATAAATTTACAACTTGCAATTTATCCCATTGATAACAAATCGCTTTGTTTTAAGGTACGTTGTAGTAAATATTTTTCATTTATGTTATGGTTGCTTGCTGTCAGTCTTTTATTATATTACCTAGCTAGATTGTTAATATGGTCCTTTAATGCTAAATGACAACTCTACCAACTCTACTGTCTATCTGCTTTTCTCGAGAACAAAGTAATCTACGTTTGAAGATAGAAAGTTCGAGACGTAATTATGTTAAAATTATTTTCGATATTACGTTATTTATGTATAGATTTTGAACCTTGAACATTGAAATTAGTAGGTATTGATAAAACATTTGTTATACAAATATTTTACACATTACACAAATATTTGATAAAGAATTTATATTCGGTTTGAAACCATCCATTATTATACTATCTACCTTGTACATTATATATAAAATTATGGTGAATGGTTGAATCTTCACCTAGCAATAAACTGATGATCGACCTTTGTTGCTCCGTCACCTTCGTGGCAGCTGACAACGGCGGCGACGGCGGCATTGTCGCCTCGACGCCAATAGGAAGCAACGCGCAGATCGCTATTGGGCTTAAGGCCATTTTCAATGCACCATCTTTTACCTTGTGCCCCTTATTGTGCGGCATGACCCGAAACCATTGAAGTGAAAATCGCATACGCAGCTTCTGTATGCCTGTTAGAAATTGTCGAGAGCAAGAATGGTGGAATGAAAAAGCTATTACTCTTTCTATTTCACCACTCTTCCTCTCTTCAGGCACCTACAGAATGAGTATAAAGCAGATATATTTATATATATATATATATAAAGGTAAAGAAAACTAAACAATCTGAACCATCTAATTATTTCCATCCTACCTTTTTGTATACAATGTTAATTTTTTTTTTACTTTTAAAAAGCAAAACATTTCTAAATTAAATTTAATACATAAATTAACCATATCCGGGATTAATATTTAGAAATTACTAAAGCTGTGGGTTCTAGTTCGATTTCATTAAAAATGTTTATATAATAGTATGTGATCTCTACTGTGCATGACCCACACTTGAGGGATTTTCAAATGTTCTTATTTGCAAGTCATAGATATTTTAATTTATTTTATCTTGCCGATTACAACCTATCCCACAATTTATGGTGAATAAAAATATTTTAAACTAACTTTTCCCCGTTACTTCGTAAAATGGTAAATTAGATACACCAATTAAATAGATCACTTGTAGATGATATATCGAGATCTAATTATATAGATCGTCAGGAATATAACAGTGAAAACTGTATTCAAATTGTTACACTAGTTTTTGCATGATGCCGGAACAAATCCACAGACAGACAGAATTTTCAAAAATTATTGTTTATGCTTCGCGTCGTATCACATCGGATGAATTAAAGTTACATCAAATTTGCTAACCTGAAATGTAATTATAAAAATTTAAGAAGAACCAGAGTGTCAAATTAAAGGTTTACGAAACAAACTTATTTTAAACAGTAACATTTTGTATAGACAGTATTGTTAAAAGTAACTAACCATACCTTGAAAATGTACATCTTTTGTTCCTTTTTTACTTATATCGTTCTGCACAAATCTTTATTGATCATAGTAAACTAACGACATTTACATGATTAGTAGTAGGTCTACTAATCATGTAAATGTTGTTTTTTTCTATATAATTCGAACATTAAACATCCTCTTTATTTAGTATTTCTTAATGTGCACACGATTCGTATACAAAGACTGGACGTGTACGTCCGCCTGGTTGTGTGCGCGGCCTCAACCGAGTTTTGTCGATGCTTTCTCGAGCGGCGAACCGGGTCGCGTTCTCGATGCCCGATGCTGGCTGCTTGCTAGCTAACTATTGAGCACCGATGCCAGCCAGGGCCCCGACGAGCTTGACAAACGCACACCAACACGTTTGTACACCCACAACAATTATGTGTAATGAAATGAATGTGTCAGGGCTACATAATAATTTGCAATAACAATAAGGTACAATTTATTTGATAGCTGTTTAATAAATTTCTTTAGTGTTAAGATTGTAACTAGTATTGATCATATTATGACCATAAAGGTGAAACAAATACGTCGAAATAGCACTGCTCATACTCAAAATTATCCCCTTCAGTATGCACCTTAACGATTACAGCACATCAAAATTTCTAGATAGAATTAAATGTAATTGACAGCGACGACCCTCACATGCGTTCCAGGAAATGGTGTCGTACAATTTATATTAGACTGAAGTCAAGGTCTTGCCAATCATTTCAGCCATCTAGTTACTTGTAGGACAATAAAATTTGAGGCCAAATGAATGAATACGGCCTTTTTCAATACCAATCTAAAAGGCTATACTGTACTGGGTACTGCGATTTCCGCTGCCTGTGAGTGACAGCTTGTCTAGAGAAATTCATCATAATGTAATGTTTATTAATTTAGCATTACTCATATTTTTAATTTCATTTATAAATAATGATGGAGATTAAACATATAATTATTTAAAATCTATATTTACGTTAACTTGATATCTGTTTGAATATTCATAGTAAAACAATGTGGAACGTAGTGCTGTAGGGCCGAGGCGACACAGTTTCTTGTTTAGTTTATAAATCAATTTGCCCTAGTTAGATTAATATTCTGCACTATAGTGTACGACCAATGTCTTTGCTTTCCATTTCTCATCAAATGTTAATGATGTACTTCAGTCGTAATACCGACTCTACTAATTTCAGCGTGATTGCCTGTCACTATCATACAGTACGAGCACGTTAGTCGCGAAACGTTGCATAACTGGCATGTGTAAATTCTTACTCACATCACTAATAGTATTTAAAACATGTCAAGTACTGTCTTAATCATTTCAATTTAATCTCATAAAAGAGCAGATACCTACATTATGTAGAACTGTATTTGCTCAAGATTGCTTTGATCTTATGTGCTTATTTACATTGTAATTTATACTTAGTTTGCGACGTAGTTATTTGTGCTAATGAGTAACGACAGATTAGACTTATTTCTCTTGTTGAATTCGTCATGACGGGCCAACTGACCTGCTTTCGCCCTCACCTATCATTCCTCACTGATGCCTCGTCAGCGTATACCGGCGGGGTTGCCATTCCATTATTGGCTATTAAAAAAATAACCCTTTTTTGTCTTAGTATTTCCTGTATACATATGTATGTGTATGTGTGTGTTTAAAATATTAGTGTGTGTACAGCTTGTTTGTGCAAATGTACATCTGCTGTTAACACTATATAACTAGACAGAACATATAATATGTCAGTTAACATGTTTACCACTTCACCCGCTCGGTTCTTGTGCGTACAGTTTGTGAATTGGTCGTAACGTCCTCGGCCTCGCTCATTTTGCTTCCGCCTTGTTGCTTATCCTCGCTCCGCCGATGCCCATGATAATCTTTTGTATTGCGAGCCTTGATCCTAGTAGACTTTACAAGCATGTACTTTGCTGTTTGATTTTTTATTTGTCTTATATCAAAATTTTGATTTCCTTTCTAGGTATAATCAGCAAACCGCGCGCTCCTCTTGGTTAAAGTACGTAATCCTTTTAATATATTTCTTAGACTATTTTGGTATTTTTTATACTGAATAATTAATTGCCGGCTAACTTCTTGTAGTAGTTGAGTAAGAGTTAATAGTTAACTTTGCATAAGTAACGTTCTTTTATTAGGCCACGTGCAAACAGGTAGGCGTGCGTGAATCGACGTCACACCTCTGGCCTATGAAGGTCGTGACGTAACAAGTCTCACAATTCAGTCTGTCGATCCATCGCTCGATTCCTCACGAGGCCAAACGTTCTACTAAGCGACAGCGGAGGTTAGGCGTGCTTTTATATTTCCGTCCCGCTTCCTCGACCTCAAGATTACTGAGGTAAGAAAAGGAGGAATCAAAATTTGCGAATCAAGGAACACCCTGTTTTACAACCTACCAGGAAACAATGTTTAAAAGCTCAATAACGTCTTTGGAAATAGTGTTTTTAATAACGTATAAAACTAATATACCATAGTATATTTTGCACCGTCAAACGATATTAACCTCATATTGATTTACGAATGGCAAATAGTTAACAATATCTTCAGTAGGTGTTTCCTTTTACTATCATAATTTCAGGCGTTTATGACGGGCCATAGGCTTCCTCTATAGTCTGCTATAAGAACGATCCTAATCTAGACCTTTCCGTTTCAATTCCTCGTTTTCATTATAAATTAAGAATGCTTATTAGGTATATTAAACCTACCTAGATTCTAGACTACACTATACATTGTTGACTGATCAATCTGTTTTGGGACTGTGCCAGTTTTCTTGTGGAACAACTAGTAGTGTCCAAATCCGGTGTCTGCAAGCGTCATTATTTCTTCCAATCCCGTATGAACATGTTTCTATTTAATTTTTTTGACACAGCTTGTTTCTACACATTCGTTTCTTACATATGGAATTAATAGCTACTCATTTGTCTGCGTGGCATGTGGTGCAGCAGACGCAGTGGCACGACCACTGCGTCTGCATCCCGGTCGTTTTATTCCTTTGCACATATGGGTTGTAAAATGGGCTCACCTTTGGGATTTTTCCTTGACACTGCTATATAGAGCTCTTCAAAAACAAAACTTTCAAACGCTCAGCAACGAGGTAACTAACAACACTCTCGTGTTCCATAAGATAATGTAATAAGGAGGGTGACTAGTTCAGTCAGAGCAGTTTAGTCATTATTTGTGAATTCTTGCCGAGTTTCGAGAGAAACTTGATTACGACGCGCTGCTCTTCAACGGAAGCGGGCTCCATGCCGACGGGGTTTCACCGCTCTTCAGACCAGAACTGAAGCATTGTTAGGGACATACCTTACAATGTGAAATGGTCTTTCCCGTGACGTTTCTTTCATCCTATAACCTCGGATCCATTAAACGTAGCGTAAAAAAGTACTCGGTGAGCCGGCCCGACATATTGTACTGTCAACCTTTGAGAATAGAACATTCTCTTTTCGGTTGATCGCATTTATAGACCATGTTGTCTCTGTGTTCATCAGGATGTTGTGGTCACATGTCGTGTTAAAATATAAAAAAGACCTAAACTAATTAAGTGTATAGTAGGTAACAGATCGAGTGGATAAATCCCTTTCTCTCATATTACATTAAAAGTAGCAGTCACTATTAATATAAAGAACATGGATAAGCAGAATCGATGGACACCTAAGTAGCGTGCACTTACCGAAGGAAAGGACTATTGCAAGTATGCTCGTAGTTTATAGATTGCTTTAATCTGTTGTATAATTCTGCGCATAAATGGGAAGGTTAACTGATAGTTCACATGATAAAAAATGGTAATAAAAATATAAACAACATCACTAACATCACAACTAATATGTACTAAGATAATACTTGTTCTAAATACATACTTGTATTATTTTTTTATAGTGCTACATATTTTAATACAATACATGTTTATTAATTTTTTGCATATTATAATGAATGTTCATGTCTATAGGCGACGGTTACCACTTTCCATCAGGTTGGCCGTAAGCTTGTTTGCCATTTTAAATTGCATAAAAAAGTAGTCATACTAAATTACAAATTTAACAATTGTTGCAGTAGATATATTTAATTAAAATATTTATCAGACTTTAATTATTTAATGAATATTTTATTTATATTTACATATTTTATTTATGTAATTTACATAAGTATCATATTTCTATAAGTAAAAATTAAATTTTGTTGGTCATTGCTAGAGAATAGCTGAACCCATTTTGGTATATATTTTAAATATTCCTTTTAAAGATTTTAGTGAAAGAAAAGATTGTAAACAACAACGTCATTTAGGTCGGCTAATTATATGCCTATAACATTGTGTTTTGTAATATAGTTTATATGGCATATTACATATGTTTATTGAACATAATTTAGAATGGTAGTAGGCTTATTGGAAGTACATAACATACAATTTTGGCACTGTCATTGAATATTTATATTTATCTTTCAATGTCAGAACGATAACAGCACAATAAATATTTATTAATCTTGTATTCCATCAAATCATTCGCTACCTAATATATTGAGCAAAGAACATGCCAGTATTCACTAAAATATATAGATATTGTACCTAGTTAGTTAATATACATAGCATACACCTTGGTAAGAAAACTTATTAGATATTAAACTAATATTTTATTTAATCAACTAAGAAACGAAAGAGATTTCTCTCTTTCTTTTTCCTGAAATGCTGCAGGTTTGTTTTAACAATTATAGCATCGATCAAATATTCTGTGAAAAATGATGAGCCATCCTTAATTTTATAAATATTTTAATTTCCATTTACAATTTGAAAAATATATAGTCCACAAGAGGATAGTTATTTACAAGATGCCCGCTTTCAAAATTGTAGACTTTACCCCTCCATATCCCACTACCATCATCATAGCAGTTTGATTTCGATAGGTATTTTGATTAATTGAAAAAGGATATTTCCATTAAATATCCAAGTCTTAAGATTTATAATATTATTATCGGTGTTTTAATATTGACGCTATGAAATTTTATATTTTGGATTCTGTGTGAAATATATTATCACACCTTTACAGTTTATTGACATAGTTAAAAGGTTATGTAAACCAAACAAAGTCGGAATCAAGGTCTACTTAAACATTCGGTTTTGCATTTTTTAGTTTTTGTTCTCCATAAACCCTTTGCAGGAAAAGGAAAGATGTATAAGTTTTAAGAATTTTATGACGCTCGTAGGTAGGTATCCCTCGAGAAAAAAGCCGAGAGTTCAGGTAAGTAAGCTAACAATTTTTTATTTCTCAGTAAAGGTCATTTTAAATGAATTTATATATCATATAGATATATGATATATAAATTCATTTAGAAAGTGTTACTTTCTTTTATTTACTTTCTAAATAAATAAAACGATGAAAGCATTTTAATATAAATTACGAAATAAAATAACATCGCTGTATGAAAATTATGGATAGCAGATTCTCAAAGGTCGGGAACGTGTGCGTCCGCGAGTCACATGTAGCTCGGTCACCTTGTATGTCCCCGTACATCGGTCGGACGAATAAAGGTGGCGTAGCGCCTAGTTCCGTGTTACAATAAACCTATGTATATTAAACATAGTATTACATAAATTTAATTTTGAAATTATATAATTTTCTTTTGCACTGTAAGCAAACTATCCTGCAATAATATTCAAATTAAGAATTTAGTTTGAAGAAATGAAAAAGTTATAAAAGAAATAATAATTCGTATTTACATATAAATATACTGCGAAATATTGTAAAAGAATATTATTATAGGTATTATAACAAAAAAAAAACTGTTAGCTAATTTCTTAAACAATTTTTTGCGACTTCAAAAAAGAGTTGGTTGTCAATTCGTCTGCATTTTTGTGTTTATGCTACTAGATATTTTTGCAAATTCTAAATAAATTTTGATATTTTTTTTTAGATTTTTCGATTTCATCATTCTTCGATTGATTGATATGATATTTAGTTTACGTCTGTGATAATGATTCAATTTTATTTTGCATGCTTTAATTATGAATATGGTAGACGTAATAATTTTAAAAAATTGACAAATTCTTGTTTGTATATTTTTTTAAGACAACTGTAACGTGATTAAAAGGACCCTGTAAACTCTAATATTATTATATTTATTGTTCCCTCGCTTGTACGCTATAGCAATAACTCGAAGGAATTACTTAGTATAGGGAAGTTAGTTTTCCATTTTGCGAAACAATTGGTTTTGACATTGAGATGTTATTGTTACACTTTGCAACGGACTATGAGACGATGACGACTTCCACGGCCTTGAATATATCGTGTGTTTGATTCACACGTCACACCTATTAATTTGCTTTTCGCCACCTATTAAAATACTTATATTGTTAGTATTCGCAATGTAACGTAATTACTACTACATTATATATTTTAACAATAGTGCTCCGAAGGCACTATATTTTTCAAATTATTTGTTTATAGGTGTCTTAATAATATTTACAAAATATATATGTATGGCCTGTATGAACACTTCGGCTTTGCTCATCTATTTAATTTCAAGATTCTTCGTCTAGTTACATTATGTATTAGTTAGTATTAGTTTTATTATATAATAATGTTTTAGAAATTTATAATGAATAAAATAAATATAGAGGCTCAAACAACCATTCCTATTCCTCTAAGTTGCAACTAAAGAAGAATTCCGTTAACTAAATTGTTGCGGTTCGAAAATTACTTAATAACTTTTCTAATATATTACCATTAACTTATATTACTACAATAAATCTTGCTAATATTGAAAAATACTATTACTATATTACTAATATCATAAATGTGAAAATGTCTTAAAACCATTATAGGCCCTTTTTAAAAACGTTTAGTACTAATGGACATTAATTTACATTCTTGATGTACTTACGTATTCTTGAAATGTCTTTATTCATTTATGTGTTACGTGTTTCTTTTTATATGCCTTTAAAATTTTCTGTATTTTTTTTTTCAATTATAACTGTCACGTAAATATAAGTTCATAGACACCTTCTCAAAC